GTTTTGTCCTCCCACATGGCCACTCACCATTGAGCTTTTCCACCATGCTATGACATAGCACAAAAAGCCCCCACCAGAACCTGAGCAGATGCTGACACCATACTTTCTGAACTTCCCAGCCTGCAGAACTGTGAGCCGAATAAACCTCTTTTCTTCACAAATTCCCCAGCCTCAGGTATTCTGGCAAAGCAGAACGAGCTAGTCGTCCATTCTAGTGTGTCCAAGCAACACCCATTTGCATGGCTTTGCTTAATAATTTGCAAGCCTGGCCTTACTACTCAGGAGTTCTAACAAAATACATTTACTGAAATCACTCAAAAAAGACGCATTTATATTTGTGTGTTATAAGTGTGTATATTGCCCTATTGAGTATATTCCCTGCAGGAGAGAACTTCCATTTTAAACAGGCATGGATGTAAGTAGTCTTACATGCTTAAAACTCGATACATATGATGGGTGAGAGAGTTTTCCATAGACTAGTTTCTGGCTATATGCTTGTTTCTCCTCCACTGCTGACATATTTCTGAAAACAGGTGCTGGGGAAATGTTCATTATTTAGATGTCATCTCTGACCCTGCTGGCTGAATCAGAACAATATTCCCGGAAGTCATTCCTACACTGGAAGTAATGTAACCACACACAGAAGCGACTGTAAACTACATGTAACTGTCTCATCACTAGCCAGATCCCAAAATGCCTATGAGCACTCCAACATGAGGGGCATGAGAAGCAGTGAGGTGGAGGGGAATCGGAGTGGAAAGAGCCAGCTGTCTTAGCTACAGCCAAGGGCTGCACGAGGACATTTCAGTCAATGATGGACCATATACACCACGGTGGTCCCTTCAGATTCTCATATCAAATTTTCCCTGGACGTTTTCTGTGTTGAGGTATGTTTAGACACACAAATACTTGCCACTGTGTTACAGCTGCCTAGCATATTCTGTACAGTAATAGGCTATAACCAGGCAGCCTCGGCGTATAGGAGGCTCTACCGTCTAGGTCTGTGTAATTATACTTTATGACGTTGGCACAACAACGAGTCACTTAAGGATGCATTTCTCAGGAAGCATCCCTGTCGTTAAGCAACATAGCTGCATTTGCACTTAAAATAGCTTACTTTTGCAAAGTCTGTAGAAATGCATTACCATGTCAGACATTGCTAAAGCGTCTGCCACCACAACTTTGTCAGGAGCCCATGCAAACAAGAGGCCGGGCAGTTCCTGGTGAATCCTTCTCTATTGGCAGAATTTGAAAAGCGATTCTGGCAGAGGGAAATCCAGTTGCTATCAGATCTCTAGCTGGAATGGCTTGGCAGAATGTGGTACCCCAAGGGGAGACAGAACCCAGGAGAAAAAGCAGGTTTGGGGAGAAAAATGTTTATTTTTTGACATGATAAATTTGAGTTTTTGAGGGGTATCCTGGTGAAGGTACTAGTAGGCTGGTATTTATTGATACACCTGTCATTCTAGTACCACCCTCCTATTACAGAAAATTCAAACAACCCAAAGGAATGCAGGGAAAGAGAAAAAGAAACAACAAGAAAACATATTGTATATGATATTCAAAACATTAAGCCACTGGTATGCCCTGTTTGTGGACTAATTAGAATCTCAGAAAAGGTCCTAGAGGGTCTCCCTGTGACAGGCATTGTCCCTTTTTTGCCAGATCAGAAGAACGTTAGGTGTGGGGGCACTGTGGGGTCTCAGGGGAGCAGCTATTTACCAAGCAGCATGGAAGAATTCCAATTTGTAATAATTTGTAGGATTTTATGATGTGTTCTAGATGAATATCCATTTCAAGGATCTACGTATAACACAAAAGTTGGCAGAAATAACCCCAAATATTTCTGTTATCAATGTGAACTGGTTAAACTTACCAATTAGAAATAGAAACTCAGATGAACTTTTAAAATGCTGTAAAAAACAATATGTCATTTCTAAGGGATAAACCTAAATAACAATACAGAAAGAGTAACAAGGAGAAATAAAATATATACTAGACAAATGCTATCTCAGGATAACAATACTAATAGAAAAAGTAATAAAACTGAGTAAGTCATAAAAGGATAAAACAATATTAACTTGTATGAGCCTAATAATTTGCTCTCAAAATTAGAAGGCTGGCGGGGTGAGGTGCTGCATGCCTGTGGTCCCGGGAGGCCGAGGCAGGAGGATGGCTTGAGGTGAGGAGTTTGAGGCTACCGTTATGATCACACCTGTGAATAGCTACTGCACGCCAGCCTGGGAAACTTGGTGAGACCCTGCCACTTAAACAAAAATCAAAAAACTGAAAACAAATATAAAGAAAATCAGACTAAGTTAAAGAGAGAAATGACAAGCTACAATAAAAGTGGGGCATGTTAAACCTACTCTTTCAGAAATTAATGGATTAAACAGGAGAGGAAAAAAAAGAAAACCCAGGAGATAAAAGATCTAAATCACCTGATTACCAAACCAGACTGAGATATATAATGAAAACACACACACACACACACACACACACACACACACACACACACACACATAAAAAGTGAAGACACATTCACAAAAATTGGGACAGCCAAAAAAAACTCTGTATATGAGGCCACAAAGGAGGCATTAACAAATTCTAAAAAAAACACATTTCCTCATCTCCAAGCATTAAAGTGAGAGATCAATGACAAAATGATTGGTTTATTTTTATTTTAAAACCTTTTTTGTAGAGAGGCTCTCAGTATGTTGCCCAGGCTGGTCTTAAACTCCTGGTCTCAAACTCCTGGTCTCAAGCGATCTTCCTACCTTGGCCTCCCAAAGTGCTAGGTTTACATGGCTGAGCCACTGGGCCCCTCCCCAAATGATTATTATTTTTTTAAACAAAAATCGTTTGTGGTCACGCATGGTGGCTCACACATGTAATCCCAGCACTTTGGGAGGCTGAAGCTCAAGGATCACCTGAGGTCAGGAGTTCAAGACCAGCCTGACCAACATGGAGAAACCCCGTCTCTACCAAAAATACAAAATTAGCCAGGTGTGGTGGCACATGCCTGTAATCCCAGCTACTCAGGAGGCTGAGGCAGGAGAATTGCTTGAACCCAGGAGGTGGAGGTGGCAGTAAGCCAAGATCACAGCATTGCACTCCAGCCTGGGCAACAAAAGCAAAATTCCACCTCATACAAACAAACAAGCAAACACTCCAGCACTCCAGAAGTTTGAAAAAAAAAAAAAAAAAAAAAAAAGGAAATGTATTTCTAAATAATTCATGAATTAAGGATACAATCCTAACATAAACACCAAAATATTGGCCAGGCGCAGTGACTGTAATCCCAGCTCTTTGGGAGGCTGAGGTGGGCAGATCACTTAGAGACTCCTGAGGTCAGGAGTTAGAGACCAGCCTGGCCAAAATGGTGAAACCCCATCTCTACTAAAAATATAAAAATTAGTCGGACATGGCAGCACAAGCCTGTAATCGCAGCTACTCAGGAGGCTGAGGCAGGAGAATCTCTTGAATCTGGGAGGTTGTGGTTGCAGTGACCTGAGATTGTGCCATTGCAGTCCAGTCTGGATGACAGAGCAAGACTATGTCTCAAAAAAAAAAAAAAAAAAAAAAAAAAAAAAAAAAAAAAAAAAAAAAAAAAAAAAAAACCAAAAAACCAAAAAAACAAAAACCAACCAAACAAAAAAACACCCAAAATATCAATAACTAAGAGATAACAAAAGCATGGCATATTAATACTTGTGATATTCAGCTAAAGTAGACTTTTGAGGGAAATGATAGTCCCATGTACTTATTAGAAAATAACAAAAGAGGTGGGCAATGTGGCTCATGCCTGTAATCCAAGCACATTGGAAGGCCGAGGCAGGCGGATCACCTTAGGTCAGGAGTTCAAGACCAGCCTGTCCAACATGGCGAAACACTGTCTCTACTAAAAGTACAAACATTAGCGAGGTATGGTGGCAGGTGCCTGTAATCCCAGCTACAGGGGAGGCTGAGGCAGGAGAATCATTTGAACTCCAGAGGTGGAGGTTGCAGTGAGCCAAGATAGGACCATTGTATTCCAGCCTGAGCAGCAAGAGTGAGAAACTGTCTCAAAAATAAAATAAAATAAAAAAAGAAAGAAAACAACCAAAGATTTTGAAAATACATGACTCCAGTGTTCAACTCTAAAAACCGGAAAAAACAAGAGAGTTTTCACTTGTCTCTCTACTGGGCACCAAGTACATGACCAGTCACATTGGCTGTACTCAACCGTTGTCTGTTGAAGGAGGCAATGTTAGAAAGATTAATACACCTTATGTACCCGCAAAAATTCAAAAAAACTTTTTTTTTTTGAGACGAGGTTTCACTCTTGTTGCTCAGGCTGGAGTGCAATGGTGTGATCTCAGCTCACTGCAACCTTCACCTCCCAGGTTCAAGTGATTCTCCTGCCTCAGCCTCCCAAGTAGCTGGGATTATAGGCACCTGTCACCACAGCCGCCTAGTATTTTGTATTTTTAGTAGAGATGGGGTTTCACCATGTTGGCCATGCTGGTTCCGAACTCCTGGCCTCAGGTGATCTACCCGCCTCTCTCTCTCAAAGTGTTGGGATTACAGCTGCGAGCCATTGCGCCTGGCCCTAAAAATAAAACCTATTTTTTTTTTTTTTTTTTTTTTGAGACAGAGTTTCGCTATTGTTATCCAGGCTGGAGTGCAATGGCGCGATCTCGGCTCACGGCAACCTCCGCCTCCTGGATTCAGGCAATTCTCCTGCTTCAGCCTCCCGAATAGCTGGGATTACAGGCACGCACCACCATGCCCAGCTAATTTTTTGTATTTTTAGTAGAGATGGGGTTTCACCGTGTTGACCAGGATGGTCTCGATCTCTTGACCTCGTGATCCACCCGCCTCGGTCTCCCAAAGTGCTAGGATTACAGGCTTGAGCCACCGCGCCCGGCCAAAACTTTTTAAAAAGGAAGCTTATACACATACTACTCAGAGCTATATAGCACGTCACCATTTTTTACAAGGCACTCACTTTCTCTTACCTCGTGTGATGTTTCTATGAGCCCTGGGAAACTACGAAGCAGGGATGATTTTACGGATTTGTATAGGTCTCATAGAAGATTTTATACGTGAGAAAGCCGAGGCTTAGAGGATGCATGACTTGCAAGTGTCAGAATCAGAACTGTAATAGATCCCAGACATTTGAACACCGAGTATGGCGTCTTTTCCTTCACACCGCGTTCCTGGGGGTGACTGGGTGGTGACCCCTGCCATTGGTCTTGAGGATTAGGCCCTCAGCTCGGGCCCTCTGCAGAGCCTCCTCAGTCCCTAGCACCTTGCTGGCACCTAGCTGGGGCTCACTGCAAGATTGCTGAAAATTACAGAAGGGTAAGCACAGGGGTGGCTATTCACCATTCTGGGTTTGACACAGAAAGAATTCCTGCTGGATGTATACACCTTTCTGGTCTGACACAGAAAGGTGTATACATCCAGCAGGAATTCCACCCCACATGATTTGTTGTAAACGTGGTATTCTAGGAGCATTCGCTCAACCAGGGAGAAAAGTGGGCCATGCAAGGAAGCTGGCCTTCGTGGTCGCTGTGGGGCTGCACGGTGGGCGCCGGCGTCCAGGCAGGGGGCTGGGTCGGTGCCAGGTGACCTTCCTGGACCAATCCCCGGGCCGAGAGAGAGCCTGGAGACATTACTTCCCCAGGAACGTCGTACTGGTTTCCTGGGGGCTTCACACCCGTGCCCCGAGTCCCGCCGTCTCTTACGCCGCAGCGGGCGCCCCCACCGGGGTAATAACCCACTCTGAGAGTCTTGCTGGTACCTCTGACCCTCTGCTCTTCGGTTCCCGGCGGCGTTTTCTCCCAGCCGCTCTGGGGCCTGTGGCCTGAATTTCACCCTCACTCATCCACTCATGTCCAAAAAATGTGGTTCAGCCCCGAAGGAGAGCCGCGCCTGTTGGCGGGGGGCGGGAGTGTTGGAGCGGCCACGGATTATGACTGAGCGCCCAGGGCCCGTCGTGAGGCCAAGGCCAGGCTGCCCCAGGGCGAGGTTTCTGCCCGGCACCCGCACACCTGCCCCGGCAGGGAGAAGGTCAGGGCCTCCCCTTCCGTCCAGGACCTGCCTACCGCACCCAGTCCTTCCCGCTTTTATTGTTCAGAGCTACTTTAAAATGCAAATCGGGCTGGGTGCGGGCGGCCGGTGCCTGTAATCCCAGCACTTTGGGAGGCTGAGGAGGGCAGATCACTTGAGCCCAGGAGTTCCAGAGCAGTCTGGCCAACATAGCAAAACCCCGTCTCTACAGGCTGGGCGCCTGTAGTCCCAGCAACAGGAGAATTGCTTGAACACTGGAGGGGGAGGTTGCAGTGAGCTGAGATCGCGCCACTGCTCTCCAGCCTGGGCGACGGAGCGAGACCCGTTTCAAAAAAAAAAAAAGGAAATCGAACCAGCAGCTTGTTTGTAACAGCCAAACATAGGCAACAACCTAAATGTTCTTCAGTAAGGAGCTAGGTAATGAAGAAAGGTGACGCGCACGATGGCGCACAGTGTGCGGTGGATGGGAAGAACCAGGTCTGTCCGGGAGCGCTTGTATGGAAAGACCCTCCAGGATATAGTCAGTAAAACAACACGTTGCAGAAAAGTACCGCAACATCATTTTGTAAACCACATGTTTATGCAAACACAGACAAACACACACACACACACAAACACACACACCCAATGTGTTGAAGAGAGATATTTGGAAGGACATACCTAACAGTGGGCTCTGGGAGTCGAGGGAAGAGTGAATCTTAATTTTTATTCAGTTTTTGAATTTTTTATTTTTGCTTTTTTTAGAGACCAGGTCTGGTCTGGAAGCCCTGTCTCCAAGCTATCCTCCTGTCTCGGCCTTCCAGGGTGCTGAAATTACAGGTGTCAGCCATCACTCATTAAAAAAAAAATTATACCTACTATACATGCATATATTACCTCCATGACCTTTCAAAAATATGCTTTATTTTTAGAACGGCTTTAGATTTACAGAAAAAATGTGAATACAGGAAGTTCTCATAAACCCGGGTTTTTCCTATTAATATTCACATCTTATATTGGTGTGGCGCTTTTGTCACAATGAATGAACCCAAACTGAGGAACTAAAGTCCATATTGTATTCAGTCGTCCTTATTTTCTACCTACTGTCCGTCCAGGATCCCGTTCGGGATACCAGTTTACATGCCATTTTTATGTCTCCGTGGGTTCCTCTTGGCTGTGACAGTGGCTTAGACTTTCCTGGGTTTTGATGACCTTGCTAGTTTTCAGGAGTCCTGGTCATGTATTATGTGGCAAGCGCCTCAACTGATCTGTGATGTTTTTCTCATGATTACAGTGGGGTTAGGTGTTCTTGGGAGGAAGACCACAGCGGTGCATGCAGCCAGCACGTGTGATTTACCCCTGTCGAGGTCACCTTGACGGCTGGGGGGTTTGCCAGGTTTCTCCGCGACCGCTCCCTTCTTCAGCTACGGTGTGTGACTTTCCCCCTTCCTCCCCACCACTGAGTGTTGCTATAAAGGAATTTTCAGTGTAAAACGTTTTCTTTTCTTAAAGCGGGTCCCTAACGACGCACTCGAGGCTGGAGGGGGCTTAGGAAACGCCCACCCCTGCGGGAGGGCGAATGCGACTCTGCGCGGCCCCGGGCGCCGCAAGGGGTTAGGGCGGCAGAGGAACCTCCGGAGCTCGAGGCGTCCCGGAGCAGCCCCACAGCCGGAAGGCCCGGGCTCCTCCCGCGCCCGCTCCGCCCCGTCCTCATCTCGGGGGCGGGGCCGCGCCCAGGCCCCGCCCCTCCCCTCCCCTCCCCGCCCTGCCCTGCCCCCGGCGCCTGGGGCAGCCGCGCCCGCGGAGTTTTCCGCCCAGCGGGCTCCTCCTCCCGCCCCGCCCTGACGGCTGCGGCGACCGCGACTCCCCGGTGCCCCGAGTGCCCCGCGAGCGCGAGAGGGACCCAGACCCAGGCAGAACCCAGGCGCCGCGCCCGGGACACCCGCGGAGAGAGCGAGTCTTTCCCACGTCCCGGTTCGCCCCTCGCGTCCCGGGTCCCCGTGGCCAGGTGAGTGAGGGTCCCGGGCCTGCCGGGGGCCTGGGACCGGGCGGCGGTAGTGCACTGCGGCCCCGCGGGTGAGGCCCGGGGCTATCCAGCGCCCAGCCCAGGGCGGCCCTGCGTCTTCCTGGTTTTACGGCAGGCATGGGGTGGGGGGCAGAGGAGGGCGTCGGTGTGTCCCGGGCGGGCTGTGCTGGCCTGGCTGCCCCCTAGATCAGCTGCGGCGTCGGGAGCTGCCCCCTCCCGTGGGATAGGGGTGCACTCCCCGGGCCCCCTGGGCTCAGGGGTCAGGGGCTCAGTCTGAGTCTGGGTAGGGTCGGGGACGCGCGCGATGGCGGGCCCGGGGCCTTGACCCTGTGCGCAGGAGGCGACCGGCCGCAGGACGGATGCCGGAGGCCCGGCCCCTCCTCCGCCCCTCGGAGCCTTCTAGGGTGAGCGCGCCCTTCCAGGCAGGGCTGGGGAGAGCAAACAGAGAAGGCTGCCTTCGGGACTTTCCTCCGAAACTGGGAGCACGCAGATTCCTGGGAGCTGCTACCATTGCAGTTTATTTGCAAGGAACTCTTCTTCCCAGTGTTTGAGAGAATGCGGGAGCCTCCCAGGTGCTGTGGCTGCCTTCGCCCCTTCCCCAGCCTTGATTCCCAGTTTCAGAAACGGATTTCAGGACTTGCATCTCCCCACGGGCGCAGGCCAGGCCCTTAAGACTTAGGAAGATAAAACGCTCTGTTGGTTTAAAGGAGGGATGTGGAGTTTGTCACCTAGAGACTTTGGAGGAGAAAAGTTAAGCCAGCCAGTGCTAGCCCAAGCTGGGAGCAGTTGGCCCGGGCATTTCTGTCTCTGCCCTCCAATCACTGACCTCTCTGTGGAGACTGGGCGTTTGTGGTAGTTCTCCCCTCTGTTCTCTACCCTGGGCAAGGCCTGGAGCTGTGAGGCCCAGCCACTGCCCTGCCCGCACAATAGGGACTAAAGGCTGGCAGGGCAGGGCCTGGTATGCTCACCCCTCACTGGCTTTCCTTGCTTCCCTCATTCCTTTTATGTGGCAGTCAGTTGTTGGGGATTCCAGGAGGATTAACGGGGCCCCTTTCCTCAAGGCATTCTTTGTGCTGCAAGGTGTTGCCTGGCAAGAGAGGCCAGGTGAGGTGCCAAGGCAGTTTGTTGCCCTGGTATTGGGTGCCCACTATCTTGGGCGCATACTTCGCTATCTTGTCTCTGACTATTGTCTGTGTTTGGTTTCCTCATCTGTAAAATGGGGGTAATACTAATCCCCGCCTCACAGGCTCATTGTGAGATTCAGGGCATTCGTTTATTTAACACCATACAGCGCTCAAGTATGGACCAGACAGGTGGTGACTGCTGCACCATACTTTTTTTGTCCCAGGTGGGTGTTACCTGGATTAGCCTTAAAGTGTGTGAGGCAGGCCTGGCTCATAAGTAATCAGGTACACCTGATTACAGGGGCAAAAAATAGTAGCAGTGGAAGGTCCAGCTAAAGTTGAAATGCTCTTCTCCTGAACCATCTTTCTGGCTTAGCTCATGCTAAGCTCATGCACTCTGTCATCCTAGAATGCCCTCCCTCCCTTGTCTTGCCCAGGATTCTCCACCCTCCTGGGAGCCATCCGGTGCCTGCTCCCTAGCAGGAGGGATGGGATATGCCCTGAGCTCACTCAGCTCCTCTGGCACTGACCCAGTTCTCATCTCACGAATTGCCATGTGGCTTATCTCTGCCCTGTCCTCTGACTCTGGAGGGTGGGGCTGTTTCTAACTTACCTCTTGGTGGCAGCACTCAGGATGGGCCTTGCCTAGTATAGGTGCTCAGGAAGTTAGTTGTCGTTAATTGAACAACAGAGGCAGCACAGGGAAGTGGTTTTCCTGTGGTTAAAATATGGGACCTTGAAGGCTGGGTTTGGATAGGCAGAGAAAAGTGGGGAGGGTGAGATGGAGATGAATTGGAACCAAGAGGTGGAAGTGGAAGTCCCATCTGATGCCTTTATGCATGATATTTTAGAAGGGGCCCACCCTGGGTGGATGTATCTAGAAGACCAGGATTGATTAGTGATGCCTAGGTAATGTGACTGGGGAAGTGATGTGTGGCTTGGGATGACAGGAGTGGGAGTTGAGACAAAATAGATTAGTGTGGGTTCTTCTTGGGAACTCACTGTAGAAAAGAAATTGGTGTGGGCAGGAGGTGAATGTGGAACCATAATGCCTGCTGAATGCCGGAACATCAGAGATCCCAGAACCTTTCTGGTGCACCCCCTCCTCCTTCTTGGATTCACCCCCCTTCTTCCTCTCTCTCTCTCTTTTTCTTTTCTTTTTGAGATGGATCTCACCCTGTTGCCCAGGCTGGAGTCCAGTGGCACAATCTTGGCTCACTGCAACCTCTGCCTCCTGGGTTTAAGTGATTCTCCTGCCTTAGCCTCCTGAGTAGCTGGGATTATAGGCATATGCCACCATGCCTGGCTAATTTTTGTATTTTTAGTGGAGACGAGGTTTCACCATGTTGGCCAGGCTGGTCTTGGACTCCTGACCTCAAGTGATCTACCCACCTCGGCCTCCCAAAGTGCTGGGATTACAGGTGAGAGTCACCACGCCTGGCCTCCCCTCTCTTCTTAGCCACCATCTTCTCCTGTAAGCCTGAAGCAGTTCCTGGCACTTGGTTCCATAAGGAAGCATCCACGCAAGGGTATGCTTCACCAGCACAGCCAAGAAAACGGACTTTTCACTTTCTCTGGATTTTTGTCTACAATACCCTCTGATCCCATTGCCCCCAGAATAGTAGGAGTTTTGAGTGATACCTAGGAAAGCTCTTAGGATTAATGAAGAAACTGAGGTTTTCTTGGTGGGAGTTTGCATTTTTAAGGGAGTTGTTGAAATTCAGTGGAGCTGTCAGATAGCCACTGAAACTGTTACACATTAGGCTTACTGACCCTATCTCCTATAACCCATGAAATAAAACCTGATAGTCACATAGTTGTTTGTTATTTGGGAAGATCCTGAAAGTACAGCCTGAACAGTGACCCAAACCACGGCTGACCTTGCCCACGCTGATGAGAGGAAGGAATGGGTGGGGGCAACCAAGGAGTTGGGGGACAGAGTTCTCTGTGCTGGGTAACCTGGGACAAGCCACCGAGCCACACAGAACCCCCATGTTCTGGTTGATAAAATGCCTGCCTGGAATGGAGAATCAGATGATAAGATGTTCCCAAAGGGGTTTGAGATAAGGGGGTGGTGATGACAATGTTGATAATCGTGGGTGTGTGACTGCCTGGAGCTGTGAAGCTGGGGTAGAGCATGTGGTGGTCAAAGCTTGGTTCTGGGATCTCTAGTTTTCCAGGGGCTTGGGCTCTGCCTTAGCAGAAAAGAAGGAAAGGAAATTGAGAGGGAAGTCAGGTGTCCCCTGCCCCTCAGACCTGGGAGCTGCTGGCATGGAAGATGTGAGATGGAGGGGAATCTGAGTGAGGGCCGAGAGGAGAAACATGGAGGCTGCTCACAGGGAGGCTGAGGGAGCAGATCCAGCCTGGGGAGTGGCACCGCTGGGGGAAAGGGCGTGTGTGTCGGTGGGGAAGGAGTGGTGATGATGGATGTGAGCGTGCTGTGTCTACTAAAAAGGTCATGGCGATTTTTGGGAAGTAGGTGACAAGGCATGTTCCTGTAGAACTGCTCGTTGCTGAGCAGTTGGCCTCGCCCTTCAAGGTGTGCATAAAAGGAGAGACTGCCCCCACTCACCCTAGAGTCATCACCCTGGTGTCCTCGAGACCTGGGACACTGGATGAGGACCAGGTTTGGAGGATGAAGAAGATCACGTATTTGGTTTTGGACCTGTTGTGTTTGAGGTGTCTTTGATATACCAAATAAGCTGGTGGGTCTGGGGCTCAGGGGGTGTTGCCTAGACAGACATTTGTCTAGGTTGTGTTTGTATTTGAAGTTGTGGGCACGGCGAGATTAAAGAATTCACCTCAAACAGCTGAGTAAAGGAAGATAAGCCCACAAAGGACTCAGAAAAAGAGCGGCCTGAGAGGGGCCCAGAAAGCCAGGACAGAGTTGTATCAGGAGCCAGGGTGAGTCTGCTTCGTGGAATAGAGTGGTTAGCTTGGCATCGTGGCTGTGGTAAGTCACGTGGAAGAGATGCGTCTGCCTTTGCTGCTTTGGTGGGATGATGGCATCAGTTGGAATGAATGGGTGAGGAGTAGCAGGACGTGAGGATCTGGTGATAGTAAGTTTTGACAGGCTCTGAAATGTTGGCTTTGAAGGCAAGGAGGATGTCGTTGAGGCAGTGTTTGATTCTGTTTCCTCGATTTACCCTCGTGCTCCCATTCACTGCCACTGACATCTCTCCCCACAGTGCTCCGTGCTCATGAGACCTAGGTGCGTGCAAGGGTTTGCTCCTTTCACAAAACAGATACATTCTCATGAATGAATGAATGAAAGAATGAAGCATGTTTCCCAGGCTGGTCTCAAAGCTCTGGCCTCCAGCAATCCCCCTGCTTCAGCTTCCCCGAAGTGCTGGGATTACAGGAGTGAGCTATTGCACTTGGCTGGTATTAAATTTTCTTTGTGGCCAACTGCATGATCAGTATTAACGTGTTTGATGGACGTGAAAGGAGAAAATAGGTACTCTGCGGGATGCTGACTTTAGATAGATCTGTTAAGTTCAGTTGTCCTTATATCCCTGCTTGCCTGGCTGTCAGATTCTGGAAGGTATGACAGAAAAAACTCTCACTATAATTTGTTTGTTTGTTTGTTTGTTTTGAGATGGATTTTCACTCTTGTTGCCCAGGCTGGAGTGCAATGGCCCCATCTTGGCTTACTGCAACCTCTGACTCCTGGGTTCAAGTGATTCTCCTACCTCAGCCTCCCTAGTAGCTGGGATTATAGGTGCCCACCACCACTCCCAGCTAATTTTTTGTATTTTTAGTAGAGGCCGGGTTTCACTATGTTAACCAGTCTGGTCTCAAACTCCTGACCTCAGGAGATCCACCTGCCTCAGTCTCCCAAAGTGCTGGAATTATAAGCATGTGCCACTGTGCACAGCCTCACTGTAGTTTTTCAAAGTCCAGCTCTACTTATATTTATGGAAGTTCTAGCCTTTTGAATTTGGCTTTCGTGTTTCGTGTATACAGGTTTATCAAGCTGATCTTCCTAACTTCTGTCATTTGTTGGTTATTTAATGCCTTTGGTCTTTGGCCTTAAATCCCATATTGTCTGTGTTTTAGGACAATATATGGCCAAGGATCTGGGAGAATCTCTTTTCTTTACCGTCTTAAAATTAATAAATAAGTGCATTTTATAAGACAGTAAGTGAAAGGCTCAGAAATTTAAATGTAGGCATCAGTTAGAGGACATTCAAGCACTTTAGTTTCTGTTCAGGCTCACACAGAGTGGTTAGTCATCAGGTCTCACTGATAATCACGAGCTCCCTGTCCTCGGTGGTCCTGATGGTCCCCATGATAGCCGGATTTTTAGGAGAGGTGGCTAAAATGAGATTTGTGTGCAAACTCTGGAGACGTTGCCTAGGAACCTCTTCTCTCACTTTGCAGTCCTGCCCCCTTCCTGTAGATCCAAGGAGCAGACTGCTCTGCCTCGCCTTTACGTGTTTCCTTCCTCATTTGAGGCGGCAAGATGAGCTTTTGACAGGGTAGCCAGTACACAAACACTTCCCAGGGCCGGAGGGCAGAAAGACGCAGGCCGCAAGTGTTAAGCTCGTCTCTGTGCCTGTGTTTTATGCCACATAAACGATCTCAGCAGGCTGGACTAGCCTACGCCTTGTTGGACCCTGAGATCCTAGTGAGATCCAAGTCCTGTGTTTACAGATAAAGGCAAATGCCCTAGAGAAATGGCTGGAAAAACCCCTTGACCTGCTAAGGCAGGATTATTGAAAAGTCCTCAATGTATGTATTTTTAAATTTTATATAGTTTTTCATTTTTATTTATTTTGAGACCGGATTACAAGACTGACAAATTTTTGTATTTTTGGTAGAGACAGGGTTTTCCTGCATTGCCCAGACTGGTCTCAAACTCCTGGATTTAAGTGATCTGCCCGCCTCAGCTTTCCAAAGTGCTGGGATTACAGACATGAGCCACTGCACCCGGCCAACCACTGTGTTCAGACTATTTTTTTTTTTTTTTTTTTGAAACGGAGTCTTGCTTTGTTGCCCAGGCTGGAGTGCAATGGTGCAATCCTGGCTCACTGCAACCTCGGATTCCCGGGCTCAAGGGATTCTCCTGCCCCAGCCTCCCAAGTAGCTGGGATTACAGACACGCGCCACCGTGCCCAGGTAATTTTTGTGTCTTTAGTAGAGACGGTGTTTCATCATGTTGCCCAGGCTTGTCTTGAGCTCCTGACCTCAGGCGATCCCCCTGCCCTGGCCTCCCAAAGTGCTCAGATTACAGGTGTGAGCCACCATACCCAGCAGCCTATTTTTAATATTAATATTTAATATTAATATTCATTAATAATATGATATTATTAATTTAATATTAATAAATTCCACCTCTGGTTTTTCTTTGCATTTATTTGGTATGTCTTTGACCAACCCTTAGTTTTAAATGTTTCTTTCCCACTTAAAAAAGTTTTTCTTGAAAATGGAAGTTTCATTAAAAAAAATTGTTTCTCTTACAATCAGCACATGGTTGGGGGTGGATGGAGGATGACGGAAGGCAATAACAGCAACAAACCTAATTACATGGTTTCTGTCTTTGGTAGGGGAATTCTGACTCTTCACATACCATGTGTACTTGATTTTATTCCTTGCATCTTGCTTATTACTTATACTTGCATGTTACTCCTTTCCTGATTCTTGCTGTTTGGGTTAAGCAATACATCATCTTCCTCATGCCACCTGTATTACGATTCAGTTTTGGTTGTGAGTGAGGAGAGGATACTCCCTCTCTCTCTTTTTCTCTCTCTCACTCTCACTCTTTCTTGAAAAGTTAGAGTCCAGGTTAAACGTGTGTTCCATGAGGTTGTTCAGGCTCCTTATGGACTGTTGTCCCTAACATTCTCTAGGGCTGTGGTTTTCAAACTTGAGCATGTAGAAGAACAATCTGGAATGCTTGTTAAAACACAGATTCTTAGATTGACTGCACCCCTAATCATTCTGATTTAGGAGATCGGCAATGGGACCTGGGCATTTTAATTGCTTATAGGCTCCCAGATTTGTCATGCCGCCAGTCTCTGGGCCACATTTTGGGTAGCACCGTCCAGGTGCCTCCCTTACCTGCATAGCCCAAGACTGCTCACTTACACATCCCCATGGCAGGCCCTCCGAGCTGCTAGGAGTCTGAGAAACAGTCCTTAGTTGGGGCTGCTGTGTGCCAGGCTATGGTGAGCGTTCTGTTACTAAAGCAAGAGAGAACAGATGGTTGAGGAGGACAACCAGAAGTTTCTGGAACACCACCCACTGCTCTCCTGAATTTGAAACTACTACTGCTATGCTTATCAGTCTTGCTATTGTCTAAGCCTGTGTTTCTCAGGTTAGGAAGTGGGAATGGTTTCTCATGACACTGGCAATCCTGCAGGCAGTGCAAGCAAGGCAGACTCTGTTCCTGTGGGCTTGTGCACAGGCTGGCAAGCTGCTGTGACTTTGCTGCTGCCCGAGAGTCATCTGCTGCTCCCAGCCATCCAGTCCAGCATCCACGTGCTCCATCTCTGGAGCCACCACCAGATCTTCCAGACCCCATGGGATCAAGGGGCCCCTCCAAGACCCAGTGGGATAGGGGTTATTTTTTTTGTGTTACCTCCTCCCAATTGCCTTCTTCAACTCCAAATGTGATACCTAGGTGACTGTTTCTAGGAGAGCTTGGGGGCAGAGGCCATTTGAACCCTGAACTTAGGTGGGGCTGATGTTTGGTCTCCGTGGCTGGTAATATCCTTGAGAGATCAGAGCAGCGGTTGCCAACCCCCATTCTCTGTTGTCATCAACACACAGGGAGGTGATCTGCAGAGAAACAGGGTCACAAGGCTCCCATGGAGCGGCTGGTGCTTTTCTGTATGGCTTGATTATATGGGACATTATTTGGGAGGCAGCAGTCACTTTCTTCTTCTCTCTTTCTGAGGTTTAACCTCTTTGTATTTCTCAAGTCCATTCTCCAGCCTGAGAAGGTGGGATGGAGCCCAGAAATGCATTGAGTGTTGGGGGACCAGCCTGGTCCATAATGCACTGGTCTGGAAATCCAGAGACGTGGTTCTGGTCATTGCCCTGCCCCACGCCAGCTCTGAGAACTCAGGCAGAGTCCTCCTGCTCTCTGGGCCTCGGCTGCCACCTCAAATAAAATAAACCGGTTGAATGAAGTGATTTCATGAAGGCCCCTCCCAGCTCCAATATGTTAGGATTCTCATGTAATCCAAATGCCAGTGCACTGGTAATTGAGTTTATCTTGAAGAAGTGTCTTTCAGAACCTGCTTGCTCAAGTTCAGCTCCTTGGTGAGGCCCCAGATGCTGCCCATTGCCACTCTTCCAGCCCGAGCTGCCCCAGATGCCAGCGCTCAGAGAGGAGGTCTGAGGCACAGCCTGGCTAATGATTGACATAGGCTGCAGCTATTTTTAGTTCCTGGCATGTGGGTGGGGAGCTGAATGCTTAACAGCACCTGCGTAGGCTTTTTGTTTAGTGCCTGGGAAAATGTAGTCAGGGTTGGTAGAGTGCTGCCCTGAGACTAGCTGGCTGGTTTGGTGACCTAATGGCACCTGTGACCAAGAGCAGAGCACTGGGGCTCTGGAGCCCCCCCCCAGGGTCCCCACCCGCTTCTCAGAAGAGCTTGGGATGTTCATACGCCCACTCACATCACTTAAGGTCCTGCTTTGGGGTTGGCGAGAGGGGAATGTCCTAGCTGTGTCCTCCCTGCCCCCAGAATTCCTGGGGCCTATGTAACAGAGGCTACCCAAACAGGTGCCACCCAGAGAATGGAAGAAATGAGCCAGGGTCCACTGGGATTCCTGCCAATATTCAGTATGTGTCAAGGACCTCGTGGTTCCAGCCCTGTGGAAGGAGGTGGTGGGAGACAGGAGGAGAGGCCTGTCCTACAGCCTGCAGCAACTGATGCTCTCACGGGGAGGCCTAG